CACAACGGTCTCCTTTCCAGCTCATTGTTGTGTCACCACAAATAGATTCGATATTCTCCAATCATGTGCTAGGGCGTACTAGAGATAAGCTTGTCATCTTCTAGTATAAAAGCTCCTACGCCGTTGTATCTTTCTCTCTAAGTTGAAATCAATAAAAGTAAAGTTCAGTATTTCCTCTTCGGTTTCTTGTGTTTCACATTCTGTAGGTTTCATCTGTTTTTTTTTTTGTTACCTAAGATTTGTGCTGGGTTGCCAAAAGTTCTGGAAGATATGATCAAAGTTAACTTCACTGCTGCTTTAGTAAAAGAACCGAATTGTATTGGTTGTTTGAACTATAGGATAAGTTCTGATTAGTCATTAAGCCCTTGATACTGTTGAAATTTTGCTGCTAAATTTTACATCTCTTTCTTAACATCTCTGTAACGTGTTCTAAATAAACCAAAACTAAGGTTATGTTCAGTTTTTGAGGCCAATTTTGTATATATTCCAATGATGATGCAGGTATCGAGAGAGAGATTTCATCTCTTCAGCTGGAGGTAGATAACATATACAGTGAGCACACTTTGTCATATAAGTTTTCTTACTGTTTTATTAAATCGCAATCAGGAGAAGAGACTAGTTGCAGAAATCAAGAAAACAGCTAAAACTGGAAACGAGGCAAGAACAACTTCCATATCCTCCCAGTCTCATCCCAAAAAACACTTTAAAATTTCTCTAGTAAAGTGGCTTATTCCTTCACTTATACTGTTGATGTTATTATTTAACATTATTTTTAGGCGGCGACAAAGATTTTAGCACGTCAACTTGTTCGATTGAGGCAACAGATTACAAACTTACAGGGAAGCCGTGCTCAAATTAGGGGTGTCACCACTCACACTCAGGTTTACTTCAAAATCAGCTAAACTAATAGTTCGGTTAGAATATAGTCCAGTGTTAGTATACTAAAATCACAGTTCTCGTTGGTTAGGCTCTGTATGCCAGCACTTCCATTTCTTCTGGTATGAAGGGTGCAACCAAAGCTATGGTTGCAATGAACAAGGTAACGTTCGTTTGTTTCAGTGGTCCATTGATAAGCTGATGATATAAAAGCACAACTTCATCATTCATACCTTGTATTTTCAGCAAATGGCACCAACAAAACAAGCCAAAGTGATTAAGGACTTCCAGAAACAGTCTGCACAGCTAGACATGACGGTAAGTAATACATCGTTTTACCTTAAGAGCTTAAGTTAGCAACGGGATTTAGATTCTTTGGACCAATTTTCTGTCAGGCAATCACATGTTATTTAGAGGATTTGAGTTTGTATGGTATTTGATTTGTTTATATATGTTGTATAATATTGCAGATAGAAATGATGTCAGAGGCAATTGATGAAACACTTGACAAAGATGAGGCTGAAGAAGAAACAGAAGATCTAACTAACCAGGTTCTTGATGAGATTGGTGTTGGAGTTGCATCTCAGGTTAGCTTGTTTCTTCTTCTTTTTGTTTTCTTGGGTTTAGTCAAAAACTAAAATACGTCTCTGTTTATATTTGTTTTTTGTCGGCCTGTTTATATTTGTTTTGAACAGTTATCTTCAGCTCCAAAAGGTCGGATCGCTACAAAAACTGCAGCTCCTCCTGCTTCCACTGCAACTATTACCAACAACAACAGGTAATGTCGATGTCTGAGACTGAGCTCATGTTTGGTTATTGTAAACTCAAGTGAAGAAATTAAGAAAAAAAAAACCTTGTGTATATTTAAACTTGTAGCTCTGAATCAAGTGAAGTGGATGAGCTTGAGAAGAGGTTGGCTTCACTGAGACGAATCTGAGAGTCACACATCTTATCAAGCTTAAGAAGGAAATGGACGATGTATTGAAGAAAAACAGCTTCCTTCAACTCTATAAATAAACAAAGTATGAATGTTTTTTTGTCAGGCATGTTAAGCCTCAAAGTATGTTATTTGTATGTATGTTCATGATATTCCAAAAATTCCAAGAAACTCTTTTGTGACAATAATGAACACGAGCTATAATTTAGATTGAAACCGGAAAATATATGACATTTTGATTCTGAATACTCAACAGAAAAATGGTGAAAAAATATGATAAAGAAAACTAATTGCAAACCAAATTTTCAAGAGTTTCTGAATCATTAGGAACCCCAAACAAAAATAAACACCAAAAGAACACGAGAACTAACTTTAACCGCTAATTCTTTTTATTCGAGAATAGTCTGAATCACTCCAGCACCAACGGTCTTCCCACCTTCTCTAATAGCAAACCTCATTCCTTGTTCACAAGCAACCGGCACAATAAGCTCCACAACAATCTTAACCCTATCACCAGGCATAACCATCTTCGACTCCTCATCCTTATCATTCATAATCTTCGTCACTTTACCCGTAACATCCGTCGTCCTCATGTAAAACTGTGGCCTATACCCCGCGAAAAACGGAGAATGTCTCCCACCTTCTTCTTTCTTCAACACATACACAATCGCTTCAAACTTAGTATGAGGAGTAATACTCCCAGGCTTAGCTAAAACCATACCTCTCTGAATATCAGCCTTTTGTATACCTCTAAGCAACAACCCTACATTATCTCCAGCCATTGCTTCATCAAGAATCTTCTGAAACATCTCAACTCCTGTTACTGTGTAGTTCCTTGTCTCTCTTAACCCAACCAAATCAACAGTCTCTCCAACTTTAACCGTACCTCTCTCCACACGACCCGTAGCGACCGTACCACGACCGGTTATCGAAAAAACATCCTCCACAGCTAACAGAAACGGTAAATCCGTCTGTCGTGTCGGAATCGGGATGTAACTATCAACGGAATCCATCAACTCGTAGATCTTATCAACCCATTTATTCTCACCTCTCTTCACGTTAGGGTTAGCGGTGAGAGTCTCAACAGCTAACAACGCGGAGCCGGAGATTATCGGAATATCATCACCGTTAAACTCGTAAGACGAGAGAAGCTCACGAACCTCGAGCTCCACGAGCTCCAAAAGCTCCGCGTCATCGACCTGATCCTCTTTGTTCAAGAACACAACCATGTCGGGGACACCAACCTGCTTAGCCAAAAGAATATGCTCTTTGGTCTGAGGCATAGGACCATCTGCTCCGGAGACGACGAGGATAGCTCCGTCCATCTGAGCAGCGCCAGTGATCATGTTCTTGACGTAATCAGCGTGGCCAGGGCAGTCCACGTGAGCGTAGTGACGATTCTCAGTCTCGTACTCGACGGTAGCAGTGTTGATTGTGATGCCGCGAGCTCTCTCCTCGGGAGCAGCGTCGATCTCGTCGTACTTTTTGGCGACGCTGTTTCCCATGGAAGCTAAGGCCATGGTTAGGGCGGCGGTTAGAGTTGTTTTGCCATGGTCGACGTGGCCGATTGTGCCGATGTTGACGTGAGGCTTCTTCCTCTCGAATTTCCCTCTGGCGGCGCGTACGGTGAAGGCGCGGCGACGGAGGGGGTGAGGGGAAGAGGTGGAGAGGGAAGTGAGGGAAGGGAGGAAGGAGGAGGAGGGGAGAGTTAGGGAAATGGTGGGAGAAGGGGGAGAGGAAGGAGAAGTGTGGGAGGAAAAGAGGAGTCTAGTGGAGGAGGAAGAAGTAGCGGCGGGAGAAGAGAAAGCCATGGGAATGGAGAGGAGAGGAGAGTTGGGGAAGATTGTGTGTGGAGTGTTGATTTGTAATGGGGAGAAGAAAAGGTATGGAGGCAAAAATGAAGGGCTCTTATTTGAGCCTATCCGTTTGCAGTGTGTGCCAAATCCTAATCTTTTTTCTTTTTCTTTTTTTTTTCCTAAAATTAAATTAAAATAGATTTATACTGGAGACTAAAGGTTGGAAACTTAGAATAAAAAGTGAAATATATATCTATTTTTTAAGTGAAAATATTGTTTCAAAAAAGAAAGGGCAAAATCTTAGTTTCTTACTGCATAGTCCATGTTTTTCTTTTCTGTTCAAAATCCAATGTTATTATTATAAAACCATGTTTAATTTCAATTTTTATAACTGAGGTTCTTAATTATTTTAGCTATGTCTTTTAAATAAAAAATATAAAAAAATTTTCGTGTATAAAAATGTAAATTATGAGTTAAAAATTCCGGTTAAAAAATCGGGATTAATCTAGCGCTAAATTCCTTAATTATATTGGTAAAGGAGAATTCGGCCAAAAAAAGCACCAACTTTGCACGAATTGCCAAAAGAGACATGTACTCGAGCCTGACCAAAAGAAACATGAACTTTTGTTGACTTTATTAGTTTATTAACAAACTTACGCTTGACTCGCCATTTTAACACACCGTTAACGAGCAGTTAAGACGGTGTTAACTCGGGCGTTAATTGTTGACGTTAGGATGAAACGACGTCGTTTTAAGCGATTTGAAAATAAAAGACGTAGACTCCTGGATTCGAACCCGGGTTGATTGGATCAAATGGCAAGGAAGTTTAACACTGGACTATGGCACATTCAATGTATCTACTAACACATTTACTTATATTTAGTATTGGTTGAATAGAAAAAAAAATCTATAAAAACTTTTAAAAAATCATTAAAATTTCAAAAAAATGAAAATAAAGAATTTTTTTTATAAAATTAATTTTGAAATTAAAATTAAAATAATTTTCTTAAAAACAAAAAATCAGACGGGAACTTATAAAATTTTATTTTTCTTTCAATGTATCTATTAACACATTTATTTATATTTGGTACTGATTGAATATAAAAAAATTCTATAAAACTTTAAAAAATCTTTCAAATTTCACAAAAATGAAAAAATAAAGATTTTTTTTTAATAAAATTAATTTTAAAATTAAAATAAAATTTTATTTTTCTTTAAAATAAAATTTTGGAAGATTTTTGATTTTCTTAAAGAAAAATATAATTTTATTTTAATTTTAGTTTTAAAATTAATTTTAGAGAAAGTCTTTAATTTCAATATTTATTTTTTCATTTTTTTGACATTTGAAAGATTTTTTAAAAGTTTTTATAGAATTTGTTTATATTCAATCAGTACAAAATATAAATAAATGTGTTAATAGATACATTGAAAGAAAATAAAATTTTATAAGTTCCCGTCTGATTTTTTTTCAAGAAAAATAAAATTTTCTTTTAATTTTATTTTCAAAATTAATTTTATAAAAAAAAATCTTTATTTTTTCATTTTTTTGAAATTTTAAAGATTTTTTAAAGGTTTTTATAGAGTTTTTTTTTTATATTCAGTCAGTATTAAATAAAAGTAAATGTGGTAGTAGATACATTGAATATGCTAATAGTCCAGTGGTAAACTGACTTGTCATTTCATTCAATTAACCTGGGTTCAACTCTAGGAGTTTTTGGCTTTTTATTTTTAAATCGCTTAAAACGAAAACGACATCGTTTCATCCTAACGTCAACAATTAACGACGTTAATTTTTTCTGTTAAATTTGCTGATGGCGTGCCAAATTGACAAGTCAATGAAAACATTGTTAATTAATTCTAAAGTCAATGAAAGGTTTGTGCTTTTTTCGACCAGTCCAAAAGTTCATGTCTTTTTTGACAATTCGTGCAAAGTTCGTGTTTTTTTGCCGAATTCCCATTGGGAAAGTGGTAAATTAACTGATGTGTGTTTACTGTTCAGTGTTCGTGGCCATTTCTACGCTTACGTGTATCCTCATAGACCAACACAAGTATTCTGTTTGAAGAGAACAAATCGTGTCATTTTTGCAAACACTTGTTAGTGTTGACGTTGACATTAGGCGAGTCGCATTCAAATTCAATCCATTTCCGTCGTTACACTCATTTTACAACAGACCTAATGGATAGGCTTATAAGGATTGAGAATTTTGATCAAACAAAAATGGATTGAAAATCTGTGAGTGTAGCCGGTTATGTCACTGGAATGCACTGCTCGTAGCATATAGAAAAAAAAAAGTAAATTTATGTTACAAAAAGAATAAATTTTTATTCATATTATAGGATATCCACTATGTCTAAAATTGTCTTCAGATGTAAATGAAATGCTGTCTGTATCAATAATGTGATTGCTTTTTTCATGTGTTTTAAGGTGGTCGAACATCAATAATATTGATGCTTGAGTAGTTGAGTTGTGGCCTTCTATGCAGCTTGAAGGTTGGTAAACCATGTGTAAATTTATCTCAACACCAATCAATCCCTAATTTATTTGCAAATGGTTTCTTAAGTTTATTATGAAGTGAACTAAATCCAATGAGGAAAAAGAGCACGAAATAATTAACATTCTTAGAGCATGATCAATGGAAGTGCTTAAGGAAGCGCTTAGTGCTTTTTGGCATTAGGTTCCGCAAGCACCCCTTCCAAAAGTACTTAATCAAACACCCCAAATAGTGAATTGCTTGTACTGTTTGCGGGTCCTACTGACACGTGGTAACCCGTGATTGGTTCACGTTTTTTTTCTTTTTTTTAACAACAAATACAAAAAATAAATAAATAAGCACCCTATATGGGGTTGCTAGGGTTAAGGATGCTCTTAGAATACTAAAAACAACCTTAGAGCACCATTATCCAAGGTGCTTAAAAGAAAGTGTTTAACAAAAAATTAGTATAATAATGGGTGAGATTCACACAAATCTCAAGCATCATTGCTTGTGAAGCTTAATTAAGCATCAATGTTGGTAGGGTGCTTGCACTATTTACGGGCCCCACTAACACATGGCGATCCGTAATTAGTTCATGTATTAATTTTTTTTGCTTTTTTTTAAACCAGAAAAAAACTAAAAAAAAAAAAAAGAATTTAAGCAGTCTTTAAAGATAATGATGCTCTTAATGGTTTAGATGCTCACTTGAGTATCTTAACAATAAGATATTATTATCTTCTATATTTACTATTATTATATTTTAATTTTAACTTTTACAGCAAACTTAGTCATCAAAACATGACATGTATCTTTGTAGTATCAACTTTCTTATATCTCTACAAGTTCTCAAGCATTTGTTCATCCTTCCTACTTTCAATTTTTTAAATGTTATTTTATGGAGATATTTTAGCTAAAAAACCTCTAATGAAAATGCTCTACTATTGGTTATTTTTTCAGATAGTTTCTCGACGATAAACATCAAAATAAAAAAAATAAAAATTTCAGAAAGTAAAGCAGGAGATAAGAGTGAGGGAGTATAGATTCTTCTAAGAACATCAGCATTGAAAGATTCGCACCAAAATTCTTGCCACTAAAAATAAATAAAAAAATCGAAAATAGAAAATGTGAGAAGAGAGAACAAAGACATCTTGTTGAGAGATTTAAAACAAATGGGAAAAACTTGTTTGCTGATTTGTCTTATTGTAATTGGTTTTGATTTTTTATTTAAAATTTTTAATTTTAATCTGTTGAGAAATTATTGTGAAAAACTTGACGACATACTCTAATGAGTTTTCAGAAGATTAATTTAACATTTGACAACATTTTTCACTTTTAAATATTAAATTTTTAATGAAAACTCAAAAGTATCTCAGCAATGCATATGCTTTGGAGCATCATTAGAGCACCAGCAGCGATTAACATACAACATAAATTTCTTATCCAATATAATAATAATATTTTTTATCTAATTTATTCTCTAATTAATTTTGAAGTTAAGGAAAAAAATGAACAAATATAAAGAAGACAGCTGTGTATATGGTTTCTTGTGTCAGTGTAAATCTCTTCTTAAAGAATCGATTATCTTATTCTTTTTACCTTTTAAATATTTTCTTTTTTACATTTGATTATTTTCACCTTTTAAATATATGAGAGATTGCCCAAAATATCATCAATGCTGGTGTTCTTACGGATTGAATTTCTCTCACTTATTTTCACCTTATTAATATTTTAGCAAATAAATTAAGTTTGATTTTTAATAAGTTACACAACTGTAAACATGATAGGTGAGGAAACAGTCATCTCAATATTTTTAGAGTATCACACAAATGATATTTCTCAGTTTTTCATTTACATTACTTTCTTGTTATTCCTTTATTATTTCAAGCCAACTTCGCTTTCTGGGAGGCGTTCCTCGGCCAATTCTTTGATGGAAACTAAAGGCTAACCACCTACAAGGTAGCCTGTTAAAAAAAAAAACCTACAAGCTAGCCTAGTCGAATCAGATAGGGTATGAAGCCAGGCGGGAAGAGGGTGAGATAGCTATGTTATTCTATTTAATGATGAGAAACTGGATGAGATAACTATCGATGTGGATAATAATGTTTTCATTTAATAATTGCCATCATTTACAAAATATTAAACCAATTTTGTCATATATCGTCTAATTTTTTTTTGTCAAAGATATCGTCTAATTAATTAGTGGTTTTGTAAACTTCCTATTAACTACACGTGATTTACAACTATTCTTTATTTTATGGCAAGAAATTTATTAGGGCTGACAAATAAGTTGAACCCAAAAATTCGAACCAAATCCGATCCGATATAAATGAATCCGAAACGATCCAGAACCGATAGAACCCGAAACATTCAACTTTTTTAAATAAGAACGTGTACCGAATATGATCTTAATTCATAATATATATCCAAAACTTTAAAATATTACTAAACATATAAAATAATTATCTATTATATGAAAGTTGATGGTTGAAAGTGACGGTTGAAACTTGAAATTTTTAGATTAAAGTTTTGTTTTTATCGAATAATGTTTCTTATTTTTTAAGAACTTGATTTTCGTTTTATGCTTTCATGTATTTGGTTTTCTTTCTATTAATAACTATGTTTATCTTTCATTTGATTTTGAATAATCACGTTTGATGTTCCTTTCTTATTTTTAAATCAATTTTACTTATGTTTTGGACAAAATAATTACACATCAGATACTTTAAATCCAAAGAATCGATTTTATTTATGTTTTGATTACAAAGTAAATACAAATCAGATATTTTTAAATTAAAGTACTGATTGGGACCCGAATCCGAAAATATAACGGGGTTATACCGGTTCTTTAAAGATTTACTAACTCCGATCCAAATCCGATAGAATCTGAACTGATCTTGAACCGAATTTTCAAATAATTCGAATGGGGTTAATTTTGATAAACTCAAAAAAACGAGATCCGATTGGACAAAACCGAAATCCGATTGGGACCCTGAATACCCAGACTTAAAATTTATTGTACAATTATGAATTAATTAATGAATATATTTCGATATTCTGTTTAGTGACTATAGAAATTGATGTATTATTTATATCATCATTAATATATACCAATTATCATTTTTATACTTTATATTAGGTTATTTATTTTATGGTTTCGCTTACGCTGAATATTTCATCAAAACATTAACATGCAATTTCATCTGGCTCAAGCTGCGAATCTCAGTTAATAATGTGCTGAAGATAAACATAATCCAGTGGAAAATAAGAGTTGCGTACCACGTCAATTGACTAAAATAAAATAAAAATACCACGTCATTTCTTCTATATACCCATAATAGTATGTGCGCATCATTTCATTCTATTTTCTTTCTTGCTTGCACGTATGCCGATTTAACATCTCCAGACGAATTAATCTGAAGTGTCATGTTTGTTGCCAATTTTCAAAGTTATAGTAGAGACCCTAGATTCTATAGTATACACACCAAGGAATAACTATTTTAGAGTAAATTCCATCCACTGATATGGCTGAGATTCAATTTTGGATTTGTTGATTTTATAATTTATAGTATGGTATAAATTCAGAACTAATATTTTAGAGGAAGTCGTGAAAAATTCGGTTAGCTGGTATCGTTGGACTAATTAAACTTGATTCATGAACACATGTTTAGAGGTACTCACAACATGATCAGGATTAAAATGTGTACAATCAATAAATTGTATACTAAAAACAAGAAGCTAAAAATTAAAATTGAGTTCTAGTGTGGAACTGAATTCCAATCTGAATATAGAGGTTATAAGATACTGGAATTGGATCATAAAATATGCAATGCAAGCAGGCAAATAATGTATAGAAAATTCACATGGATAGTAAATAAAAATTAAACAAAAAAAAAAGAAATTATCCACACAAATCCATACAAAGACAATCAATGTTTTCTTAAAGAAATGCATTAAGAAAAAAATTCAAGCCTTTTGTGGCTCAGCCGCCGGAGTTTCTAGAGCCTTTGCCGGAGATTCAACCACCGGAGTTTCTGGAACCTTGGTCGACGGAGTTTCAGTCATTGGCGCTGCAGCAACTACTTCTTTTTTCACCTCCTCCACTGGCTTCTTCTCTTCCACTGCTGCCTTCTTCTCCTCTTCTACGGCTGGCTTCTTCTCTTCCACTGCTGCCTTCTTCTCCTCTTCGGCTGGCTTCTTCTCTTCCACCGTCACCTTCTTCTCCTCTTCCACGGCCGGCTTCTTCTCCTCCGCAGTCACTGGGGCAGGAACCGGTGCCGGTTTAACCTCCTCTTTTTTCTCTTCAACTATTTCTATCTCTTTATCGCCGCTTATAACTTCCTCTTCCTTGGCCGGTTCTTCAGTTTTCACGACTTCCTCCACAATATCCACTTCCCGAGACTTCTCCTCCGCCGGGAGAAACAAACATACTTTCTCAAATATGAACGTTACTGGTCCGGAGCTAGTAGATGAAACTGCACATGCAGCCTTTGACCCAGGGAACCCTGAGTTGATAAGTCATATAAAAAGATTATTAGCTCATCCTCTATACTGAACTATAACCTTTGCAATACACATTATGTATTCATATAAAATCATTTGTAGTTCATTAGGTTGACCATGGATATAGTGATGTTTATAAGGGTTCATTATGCTGGGAATGAATAGAATACGATCGGTAATCCATTCCAAAATGGATAAGTCCTAGTAAAGATACAAAAATATTACGTCGTAACTAGGCGTTGCTAACCATTTTTAGCTAATTAGATGTACGTACCAATTTCTACAAGTGCCTCGAGGAATTTGTGCACTTCGGCAGAATGTTTGGTTAATCCATCCTCCTTAGGCTCCTTCACCAAAGCCTACATATATAAATAAATAAATCAAAAATCGACGATAAATTAACAATCACTAATGTTCAATTTAATTTTATAAGAGAAATTAAAGAAAAATAATTGAATAAGCACCTTGAGTTCAGCAGACGTGGCTTCGTAGATTTCCACGACCTTGGGTTCCAGTTCTGTCCTTTTCTCCTCAATTTCCTTGTTGATTGCTTCCTATTTATTAATAAACAAATTGTTTAAAAGAAATCGAAAAGATTCGAAATAATCACACACATATATCATGTAACTATAATTTAGAGGTTTTAAATGCTGTAAAATCGAACCAATTAAAACCAAACCAAACTAAAATAGAGAAAGTGATTTGGATTTTGTAATACCGAATATACTGAATGGATATTATTTTAAAAATATTATGGTATATAGATATAGTTTGGTGTATAAACTAATTTAACCAAATACACCGATTAATCAAAACATAGTAGTATAATTATATGTAAACTATATAATATAATTAATAATATGTACATAATTTATTTTATTTATATGATCTTCATACATAAAATGTTGATTTTAGAAATTCAAAATTTTGTTTGAAGCTAAAAGTATTCTTTTTATCGAATTATACAAAACATATATTTACTTTTTTCGTTGACAAATATGTGTGCTAATACTTAGTTATTAATAATATTATGATATTACTAAGTTTTCTTCTTTTATTTATGATTTTTTTTTATTATTAGTAACTTAATGTTTACTAATTATTTAAATATCACAATAAAAAAGAAAAAATAGTCTATTTAAAAACTGAAATGTTTTTATTTTTTATTAAAGTTATATTAAATCATATTAAGTAAAATTCAGAAAATGTTATAAAAAATAAATTTATTTATGGTTTTATCGTATAAAACCAAATAAACAAAAAAATGACAGTATATAAACTGGACCAAACCAAACTAAATATAGTTTTAATATGATAACTATTCTTTATAAATCGAAATACCGCAAAACGAATTAACCGAACTAAAATCCGGATTGAACACCCCTAAATTTCTAGATATACCTTAGAATCATCGAAGGTTAAGGACTTGCTAGCCTCGACAACAAGAGCCTTCTTTGTTGGGATCCTCTCGAACAATTTCTTCATTGTTGGAACAACCTTTGATTTCCAGTAACCCATACCTTTTTTTGGGTATTTCCTGCAAGAAGAAAAAACCAATTATTATAAACTTACTATATATATCGTTAATATGAACATGACGGAAACAAAAGATAACCAAACCGATTAATTGGAAGAGACGAGATCACCTGATCATTCAAATACATAACTAAAAGGTCGTAATTTATACATTTTACACATGAATATACATAATATATATTATATATAGGTCTTAGTAATATATATCAACCTTTGTTTTTCACATTTATATGGTTAACGTATCAAGCTCCCTAGTTCTGTTCATTAGAGTCTCAAGAAAATGCCAAACTAACGTGATGAGGAGTATTGACAAAAGGAAAAAAAGGCATATTTTCACGTCTAAATAATCCGAAATGAAAATGTGTATATGTATGAAAACGTTGAAAAAGCTCCCTAGTTGTAGTTATTTTTGTGCATGGTGAGACTTACTTGCGATGATGAGTTCTTGAGGGTCTTCTTCGTTGTTCTTAATCTTCAAACTGTTTAATTCGTGTTTCTCTGGTTTTTGAGAGGCCATTTATAGAATGGATTATGTTATAATCCGCCTTTGCTTTCCATTTTAAAGACGTGTCTACCCCTTTTTTATTTTCTATCGTTGTCTACCTTTCTTTGGTCGGCACCAGAACCATTTCTGCTGGCTGGTCGGCTTAACCGGAAATGGTTACATAAAATTCAAGACGACACATGAATATCTTTGTTATATGCATTTTTTTCTGCATCAGCTTCCAAGGTTTAATTGAGTATTTTGTATGGGATATGAACCGAAATTTTGTATTCTTGCCATTTTGAAGTTTCTGGTTTTCCTATAGAACCGGTTCTAGTCTCAAAAGAAGACATGAAAGATATTTAACAGCTGGTACTGATATTGCAAAAAGGGACTTGCCGTGGTGATCTGTAACGTACAGCATAAAGTCCTCTCATCTCATATTACAATTTATAAGTTATGTTTTTTAAAGAAAAAATTTATAAGTTATGTTTCTATTTAACCTTAACTAAACGTACATATTTTGTTGTGTTTCTTAGCTTATTTTTGTCAACTGATTGGCTGTTTTTAGATTTCGTGTCTTTAATTAAGATATTAAATGAATTTTGATGCCAGTATATATCCCCCATGTATGAAATTAGACTGACGGCAGATTATTTTATTTAGCATAATTATTTATTTCTGAAGACAGACATCCCACCATCAATATCTAAGGACCAAGCATGAGATCTCTATTACAACATGGTGTACACTTCTGTGTGTACAAAAGATACAGGTTTATAAAATAGAAATGAAGACCTATTTTTATAACTGGCATTGTACCAACGAAAATGTTTATTCATTGAATGAATTAGGACAAATTATTCAAATTTACAGTGGGCATGATCAATAAAATTTATATATAAATTTGATACATTTGAACTAGGGTCGGGTGGGTTATTTTATATGAATATATATTAATTTTATGAAATATTTAAAATTATTATAGATTAAAAACAATATCATAAACAAATAAATAATGACGAGCCCAAAAAGAAAATAAAGAAAAGAATTCTGAAATCATATTTTTATTTTTAATAAATATTTTTGGTTTGAATCAAAATGACAATAGTCTTCGTTATTCTCTATTTTTGTAGAGAATAAAAAATTTAAATAAAAATAATTCAAGAAAATTTAATAATATATATTATCTTTTTATTATCTCTATTTCGATTTGATATAACAAAAAATCTCAAGTTTAAATAAATAGTACTATATTTATTTCAAGAAAATCCAAAAAAAAATATTTATACAAATTATTTCTTTCATGTTAATAAAATAGTCCATTTCCTAGTTAAATCAGTTAAAATATAATAAAATTTTATTAAAATAATTTAATCTTAAATTACTATATATATAGTTTTATAATATCATAACTATTAAACAATGTTTTCTAGATGATATATTTTATTTACACACTACCAGTTATTTTACATACTACCAATTAATTAATATTTTTTGCATTGAAGACGGTCCTTCGCCAAAACGCAAAATATTTCCAATTTTTTTTGTCAGGAAGATGAAAATAATCATTGTTAAGGGTTTTGGTGAAGATTTTACGGGAGACGATGGAGGCTCCTATAATAGACCAAAACAATATATAAACCCATAAAGAATTAATTTGTCAAGCCCAATGATAGTCCAATTAAAGCGCTTAAGAATTGATTTTGTTATAACGTAATAAAACGCTGCGATTTAAATGTAAAAGATACGTGTCACGCCGATGTTAACCGAATTAGTGATGTGGCAACAAGAGAAAAAAAAACTCTTCTTTATATAATAAAATTCAAAATATACAATTATTAGTTAAGATTTTTTTTGACTAAAGGTTAAGTTTTACACCAAACTTGATTTTTGACAAAAATATATAAAGACAACTAGTTTCGTATTAAAGAAAATAAAATTAGCACCGATAGCACTAATCATAAAGGGATAAATTCTATGATATACTCTACATATTATGTATATATGACTAAAAACCTTTCTGACATTTTCTCACCTTTTTTTTCTCTTTCTTCTTTCTTAAAACTTTTGAAATCTTATCTATTCAATTGATTCATCAATTTCATCTCATCCTAATTGGTTACTAGTAGTTAATGATTGTGCAGATTCAAAGATGAAGAATCTTAGGTCAGGTAAATTGAATGAACATTAACTTTTTATACTATGGTCTATTCTATATTTCTCAGTTTGTAACTAATATAATAGAACACAAACTCCACATAAATATAAACAATATGTCATTGATATGAAGTGTACGGTTTAAAAATTATGAGGACAAAATTTTAGATGTAATACACACAAATTCTCATATTTTTTTTTATAATTTTCTTCCAACAACTATATATAGTATATTGTAGATACCACAATATTCTATTTTGTTTTATGTACAAAATATAATTTGTTAGAGCATTTTTCTTTTGTTATTCTCGCGTTCTTCTTTTTACTACTTATTATTCTTCATTTTCTCGATCATCTCTTTTCTTTTCTTTTTAGAGAAAATAGTTTTCTTTAGGCCAAAAATGGTAACATTGTCCCTTTACACTAATCTCTAGTACTTTATGTCCTATTAAGCTAAAATTTTTCTAAATGGTAATAATGCCCTTAAATTCATTTAAAAATCGTAAAAAGTTAAAAATAAAAATCTTCAAATCAGAAAAAAAAGATGAAAGAAACTGCTCTATACGAAGGGATCGATCGATCCCAGAAAGAGTCGGTCGATCCCAGCGGTCGATCTCAAATCAGTTTTTTTTTCTATTTTTTTTATTTTTCTAATGAAAAATGATTTTTTTTTTTTTAAATAAAAAAATCGATTTTACTTATTATTTTTTTAATCAAAAAATATTTTTCAAATATTATCTTCCTATATTTTCAGAACAGAATATTCTTATCCGTAGAATGTGTATTCTACTAAATGTAGAATACAATAATAAGGTTTGAAATCAGGTTCTACAGGTTTTAGATTTATAATAATTTGTAGATTCTGATTTCTACTTATATTTAGATTTATAGCAATGTGTAGAATCCGTTTTTTACTGATTTTAGAAGGATAGTTTAAGCGAATGTATATTCTAAACATAGTAGATTCAATAAAAAAAGTGGATTTCATTTTCTAATTTGTAAAATGTCACTTCTACTTTATGTAGAATATAATTTGAAAAAACAATTTACACATTTTTAGAACTTGAAAAAATACCACTAGATTGATATTAATGTTTCATAACTAGTTGTTTTTTTTTCTGGTTTCTAAAACTATTTATTTAATTTAATTTTGAAATTAATAAAGAGTATTATAGAAAAAAATTATACAAAAAGGAAATTAGTCTAAAGGGACAATATTAGCATTTTTTTGGTTTAAAACAACAATTTCCCCTTCTTTTTCTCATTCTCATTTTTCTCTTATTTCTTCTTCCTTTATCCTCTTTATCTTCCTTCCTGTCTTCCTCTTCTTTCCATCTCTTGTATTCTCTCTAACATCGTTGCCGACCATCGTCTTTTCACATCTGTGCTGTTTTGTCCTCCCCCTCCAACTGTCTCGTTTTCACCGTTATCATATGCATTTTTTATTCGGGAAATTGGCAAAAAGGGATAAAATAACCATACTATTGTCTCCTTAGAACAAACTCAACTTTTGGCATGTTTGGACCTTCACTACCCTTTTAGTCTTTGAAAATTCATATTAATTTTTTTACAAGGTAAAAAATTATGGAAAAATAGTAAAATTGATGTAGATAAGCATGTTCATATAAGAAAAATATTTTTGTTTATAAAAAATCTTTAAATTGTAAATTCAAAAATGGAGTAAATGTGTTAGTATCTACGATCTACCATCGACGGCAGTGTAGAACATGTAATCTAACAGAAAGACAGCGTTCTAAACGGCTTAGGATGCGCAATATATCAAAAATATATATAACTACGAGCTCAGAATATATAATCTACCAAAGTCTCTGTAATCTACGGTTTTGGTTGACTGTAAGTCGTAGAGATAAACAGTTATCTAACTCGGTAGGAAGTGGATTCTTTACATTGTTTTTCTATCTACAATCGTGGTATACCATATCCTAGTTCTTCGTCTACCTTCTACGGTGGCAGAATGTAAGTTCTGGAAAAAAATAAATAAGAACCGAAAATCTAGCCAAAAACGGTAAGTAATATTCTGTAAATCTTTTTAATATTTTAATTTCCTTTTTTAAGTTTTCTTCCAAAAAAAATTGAAAACCTCCTCTTCTCACACGATTTAGGGATTCATCGTGTGTGTTTTTCATCTTCTCTTCTTGTTTCAATTCTCTTTGCCACAAAAAATATAAAGATTCACATCTACGCTTCATGTGGTTTGTGGAAATCATCAATACCCAGTGGATGGGAGTTTCTTGTCGATGAAGCAAAAGGAGGGAGGTTACTTACTTTGGACACAAGTTTAAGCTTAGAAATTGTAAAGTTTATGGTGTGTGAAGACTTCGAAATTGATGTAAACATGGTCAATATGGAGCTCAGTTACTTGCCTTCCGATTTGATAAATAGCATTGACTCGCCTCCGGTCTTCATCACCAATGATCGGAAAATTAGAAACTTTCTTAGTTATGTGAAGAACAAAGCTTCGACGCAGTTGTGTGTGAGTATTCAATCTAAGGTGGAGAAAAACAATAGCAGAGGCGATTTTGACTTGAATGAAGAAGCGGCTGACTCTTACAGCGACAAAGAGCCTATGGATATTGACGATTCAGTTGATATGGATTTTGAAGAAGATGTTGATGTAGATGACATCGATCACGACAACAAGTGGGAAAAAGAGAAGAGCAACAGAGATGGTGTTCGCTTTTGTTTGGCGGATGTCGCGAAGAAGGATCAACATTTTAGTTCCAAAACACTTTTGAAGGCAGCATTCGAAATATGTGCTATGAAACATAATTTCGACTATAAGGTTGTGAAATCGGATAAAAAAGTGTGGTACATTCGTTGCTCAGATGATGATTGCAGCTGGCGTGTTCAACTGTTATTACATAATTGAAAACAAAATTTTTTGTAGTATCTTCGTTTGACAATACACCATCTGTATCTCATAAACTCAGGATGTGAATACAATTTGGTGAGATCAAAAGACGAACAGCTCGTCTCTGCCATATATCACAATTTCTGGATCATCTGTCTTCTCAAATGGTGTCAACACAAGCTTCTCGTTTTCCTCCAGCCTGAACACAGATACAGGAGAACAAGTATGCATAAGCAAATACCAATGACCCACTTAGAAATGGGCAAATTCCGAAATCAAATCATGCGCCTAATGTAGTAAAAGAAAGGATATAAACTCTATCAAGATTGATTTTTAAACGAACAATATCTTGAACACACCTCAATCATACAAATGTTACCAAAATACTCCATCTTTAAGCAAGCGCTAGTTTTGAAACAAAATATATGCACTTATTTAGAGCACAGTATATCAATAACAGCGAAAATGAAATCTGCTGGGAAGAACTGATACAAAAGTGAGACTTTTTTTTTCTCCTTTCAACCTTCTAATTTAAGATACAATAGCACGGTTGATTGAGATACATGCATCGTATTTACCATCTGATAAAACTATTTAACAGAAGCTGATTAAATATTACTATAACTAACAAACATTTCAGTAAAAAATGATTTCTTTTAACACCGGAGAAGTAAAGAATGGTAACATGGTCAATAAGATGCGTGTAAACAAAAACTTAACCTCACAAGCATCCGACGCCAATTGAGAAAAGCTTGCTTTTCATTGGCATCAAGTTCTTCCACTGACATTTCTGGTGTCCAAGGAGGTCTGAAGATGAAGAACATATGCGAATTATATGGAACTCAGTCTCAGAAAGGAGAAATCAATTAAAAGAGAATTGAAACGACGTGGCGTGTAAAGCCTCATCTATCTTCTGTTGCTCTCTCCATTTATCAGCTGCTATAATACTTGAGCTGGACTGTCCGTCTCTGTACCAAACCAAACAACATAAGAAAAAACAAACCCAGTGAGTACACACATTTGAAAGTTCATTATAGCATTTAGCTTTATTGTGCAGTGAGTAGTGATAACTAAGCAAAAAATTTATAACTTTTCAAATCCAAATCCACTCAATTCTATTATCTCAACAAACAGAGCTCAAAGAATAACTATTTACAATCAAACGACACAAAAGAGAGCAACTTTAATAAAAAGAAGAGAAGGCTTTTACAGATCGATAGGCAAAGGAGTGGTGTTGCTGTGATTAATAGTGAAAAGACGTTCCGCCTCCTCACCTTGCTCAAGAATGGTGTCGATGTCGCTGACCTCGATTACGGATTCGAGAACCTTCTTCTGAAGTGGTGTCGCTTCTCTTTCGCCAATTCGATGTCGAAAACAATAAAAAAATAATATAACTAATTTCTAATTAACTTAAACTATAATTATATTATAAAATTAATTAGTAAGGACTAAATGGGATTTGTATCTATACTATTAAAAGAGAAGGAGTTTAAATAAATCTACCTATAAAAGTTGTTTGGACTATTTCCTTTTTTTTTGTCTCCTCTTTATATATTATAAACTCATGCCATATATTCATCCTATATTATAGCAATACAATTTGTGGGATCCTTACCTAAATTAAATGAATTACTATTCTGTTAGTTTTTATTTTAATCGTTCATTATTCTTAACTTAACTAAGACACATAATAGTTAAGTTACAGCTCCCCTCAAATATAAGTATTGAACCAAAGTAAATAAGACAAAACACATATGTTTTTTTTTTTGACAACACATATGTTAACGTTATTACTAATCAACGTTAATAAAAGTCATACAACACCATTTATCTATTTAATATAATATATTAAAAATACGTAATAGTGGTATGAAAATGTCATACAACAACATTTCTTATTCATTCCACTTAAATATCATCTAATCAAATCTTTCTAATATTCTACTCTAAACAATATTTTAGTCTTATCTTATATTTCTCTAACAGTAAAAAGTAATGTGCAATACATATCAACATTTTGCTTTAGTCTATCTTATATTCTTATTGCTTACTATACATCAATAACAAAAACATTATACCATATAATTAACTTTATATTTCTCTAACAATACCTTAGTCAATATTTTTATTTATTAAACAAAATAATTTTGATACAAAAAAACGTTATACCAAAACTATATCATTTGCTTGAGCCACCTTATTTTTAAAGACAACTATAATATATAGGTCCAAATATTAAAACAAACAAATTTAATACAAATACTTTAGCAAATATATGTAAAACCAAAATTATATTTTAGGTTAAAATATTTTTAAATGAAAGTATTTAAATATTTTTTTTAATTTAGTATAAGGTTAAAAACTATTAATATATTTGAAAAATCTATAATATTAAATTAGCCAAAACATACCAAGAAAATTTGAAGTTTCAAGTGCTCAATAAATATGGCTCTTATAAAATGCACCTCAATACCCAATGTTTTTTAAACGAATTTTTACTCGAAACTCGAAAGTAAAAACGGAAACTTTGATCCAAAACTAAAAAAAAATCATATTATTAAAAACACATTTGAAATACCGTATATATATCAGAAAAACCCGGATATACTTAATACACATAAAACATTTCAAATACTTTAAATACCCGGATGGTTCTCGGGTACAACCTGGAATTGAACAGAGACCACATGTCTGAAGAAAAAAAATCAAATACGTATTTTTTCCTAGATCCGGACCGAAACCACTACTATATTTTCGGGATATAGCAATGTACATACAAACCTTATATAAGCTAATTTATAAACTATATAATTTTAAACAAGTGTTTTTCTTGGATATA